AAGTCTGTCCCATCATCTCGCTGAGGCAAGACCAAGGCACCTCTCCACCCCCCTGATATTAACCACACTTAAGAGTATGAGCCATGCCCAGTAGTAGACAGCTAACACAAGTGAATTCAATAGTATTTTTGTAGACTTTCTGTCTCATTGCTTTGTTTGAGCATCACCCCCACCTCCCATCTTTTGCTTGTATAGTATGGCTTCTGGTTTTATGTTCTTGTGGGTTTTGTTTAGATGGTGTTGTTTCCTATACATTGTACTTTATTCTGGTTTGTCTGCCTTTGCTTGTATAGTATGGCTTCTGGTTTTATGTTCTTGTGGGTTTTGTTTATATGGTGTTGTTTCCTATACATTGTACTTTATTCTGGTTTGTCTGCCTGTTCTCTAAAGAGAGACAGAAGGTGTGGAGTTGGGCAAGTGAAGGGGGGGGGGAGGTCTGAGAAGGGTTGGGGAAGGGAAAACCATTCTCAGAATACATTGTACAAAAAATCATTTTCAATTAAAGAGAGACTCCAGATTCCACAGCAATCAGGAATATGTCTAATCTCACACAAGTGTCAGTTGAAGATGGATGACAAACAGCATGCTTTCAAATGTGAAGAAAAGAATTTTTGAATGCAAAGAATGGAACATAAAGTTAACTTATGCTCTTTTCATAATTATGAAAGGTCCTAGTATAATTCAAAACTAATGCTGCCCTATAGGATAAAAGCAATAATTTTGAGACAATATTAAAAAGTTATTATGAAATAATTCAAAAGGATTACATTTTAACTTTGAGGGGAAGGTGTTAAGACAATGTTTCTCTATGTAACAGAGCCCTAGCTGTCCTGGAACTTGCTCTGTAGACCAGGCAGGCCTTGAATTCAGAGGTCCTCCTGCCTGTGTGCCTCCTGAATGCTAGGATTAAAGATGTGCATCACCACACTCTGTAACTCTTATGGGATATAAGTAATTACCTATCTTGAACAACTAATATAAATCCAGACTAAGAAACAAGTCAAAAGAACTTTTGTAGCAATGTCTGGTTCCTAGCTGGTGGATTGTTTAGGAAGGATTAGTAGGTGTTGCCTTGCTGGAGAAGGTGTAGTATTGGGGAGTGGGCTTTGAGGTTTCAAAAGCCCATGCCACACCCAGTCTGTTTCTCTCGAGGCTGGTGGATCTGAATGTAAGTAAGCTCTTAGCTACTGCTTCAGCAGCATGCCTGCCTGTCTGCTGCCATTCTCCCCATGATGGTAACTGGAGTCATCCTCTGAAATTGTAAGCAAACCCCCAATTAAGTGCTTTTTAAAATAAATTACTTTGGTCATGGCATCTCTTCACAGCGACAGACCAGTAACTAAGATATGGGGAGATGACTCAGTCAGTAAATGCTCAATGTATAAACATGAGAACCTTGGTTTGATACCTAGAACCCACATAAAAAAGGCCTAAAAGGGTGGCACATACTTGTGGGAAACAGAGGCAGAGGGAGCTCTGGGCTCACTAACCAGACACCCTACGCTACTTAGCAACCCCTAGGCCAGTGAGAGATACTGACTCATCAAACAGTGCAGAATATCTGAACATGTAAGTTTTAACTGTGTCCTCTACACAAACATACACAGTGCACAAAACCATTTTTTAGTTTTTTATTTTATGTATTATAAAGTGCTCTAGAACAACACATTATAGAAATATTTTTTTCTTTTATCATTTTTTATTTTCATTTTAAATAGCTTGTTTTACATGTCAATACCAGTTCCCTCTCCCTCCCCTCCTCCCGCACTTCCCTTCCCTCCCAGCCTCCCACCCTATTGCCAATTCCTTCCACATAGGGGATATCTAGAGTCTGTCATTTCACTCTGGGTAGGGTCCAGGCACTCCCCTAAGAGTCCAGGCTGAGAGAGCATCCCTCTTTGTGCTATGGGCACACGATGACTGTTTGTATTCCAGGGATAGACACTGATCCACAGCTCAGGGCCCCATAGGTTGCCCAGGCCTTCTCGTTGACACTCACATTTGGGGGGTCCAGATCAGTCCCATGCTGGCCTCCCCACTGTCGGTCTGGGGTCCAAGAGCTCTCCCCTGTTCAGATCAGCTGTCTCTGCTGGTTTTGCCAGCCCTTTCTTTGCCAATTTGCTCGTCACTCCTCTCTCTGTCATATAGAAATATTTTTAAGTGTGCTTTAATGTTGCTGAAGACAAAAAATACTCAGGACCCAATTTCCACATTCTCCAAATTATTAATTCTAAACATAGACAAAGATTATTTTGATTGTCTACCTTTATAGATTTCTAAAGAGACTTCACAAACTGAATTAAAGGCGATATCTAAAGTCTGTAAGTTATGCCAGATACTAATTTTCTGGACAGGATATTTAGCTGCTGCTCAAACAATCTTAGGAGTGGTAATCAAGGACTACTTCAATCACCTTAAGAGAATTTTTGTAGTCAGGCCATGGTGGCACACGACTTTAATTCCAGTACTTGAGAGTCAGAGGCAGGTGGATCTCTGTGAGTTCCAGGTCAGCCTGGTCTACAGAGTAAGTTCCAGGACAGCCTGGGCTACACAGAAAAACCCTGATTAAAAAAAAAAAAAAAAAAAAAATCAAAAAAGGCCCAATTGAGTTCCATGAGTTAGCACAATCTGGAAGCTTCCTAAGACCACCACATTGTGTATCTAGTCAGGCTGCCCACCAGAGGGGCTCTGGACATCACAAGGCTGCATAATCCTTTAGCTGCACCTGGACAGACATGGAATAACACTGGTAACAAATTATTCTGAGGGATACAGCAACTACAGAGCTTTTTACACATAAAACAGAGTAACTAATGGTGAAAAAAATCGTGCTTTATCTCTAATGGCAAGAAAGACTCTACAATTAGCAAAAGGACACATCAGAGAAAAGCTGCCCCCCAAGAGTACTAACCAAGAGCTGCCTAACCTCTCCTGCACCTTGGTAGTTTAATAAAACATCTGGCAGTTTGCTTGGTTTCAGAATAAGCAGGTTTTTATTTCATCTTATTTTATTTCAAAACAAGGTCTCAATATGCAGACTGGCTGTCCCAGAACTCACTCTGTAGACCAGGTTGGCTATGAACTCACAGAGCTCTGACTGCCTCTGGCTGGGATTAAAGGCGTGCGACACTATGTGCCACCAGAATAACCAGTTTAAAGATTTTTCTCCCATTATTAAACAGACTTTCTGAGAGTTTAATGCCACAGAAACACATGGAATCCTAAATGTCAGGGTCCAGGTCTCTTTCACCTTACCAGCAACCAGTCAGTCTGTGAGGAGACAAGGATGCTCTGGTTTCAATTGGTTCATATGAAAAAAGGCAGATGGCAATAGCTTCGTATTTCTACAAAAGCAGTGGAAATTAAGTAATATGATACTGAAGAAGAATCTAATGAAAGAAATCCTAATGTTCTCCAGTGTTCAAGATTCTCTAGCTGGAGGCTGAGCAATCTTAGGGTCGCCTATAGTCCAGAGATTACTGTAATCTAATAAACTGTACATTCAATGTGAGAATCGACTGGCCCATGACTCTTCAAACACTATCAAGTCTATCTCTGGGAAAGCTGGCTTGGATCTGCAGTGGCCACCACACACTTGGAATCTCATGTACCTTAGCAGTTTATGAAGCTTATCAGGATTGTCTGTGAAGTAAAGAATCCTTCCCAAACAGCAAGAATGCCCCAAACTTCCTTCAATGTCTGCTGTCATCATTTCTACCAGAAGAGGACAGGGTTGTTTCCCAAAGCCTCCACTTAAGATTCGGTGACCCTGAGCCTGGCCTCAGAGAAACTACCCAGCTGGAGCTTCTAACAAAGGCTCCATTATTAAGACTCCCTTTAGCTCCTGCCAAGGGTGAGCCACAGTCCTCAGTTGGCCATTTGCAGCAACCACACAGCAGCAATTATTTCAGAGCACCAAGCTGCATGGTGGCGGTGCACACCTTTAATCCCAGCACTCACACTCATAAGGTAGAGGCAGACAGATCTCCGAGTTCAAGGCAAGCTTGATCTACAGAGTTCCAGGACAGTCAGGGCAACACAGAGAAACCCTGCCTTGAAATGCCAAGAAACCTGGGTTGGGGTCAGGGGGAGGAGAACTGTCTCAGAAGAGTATGAATTTGTCAACTAGAAGGACATGCCTGCCCTGAATGGGGCTGACAAGAAAATGGCTCTCACAAATTGTTCTAGGGGAAGGAGGTCCACAGAAGGTACAGAAAAGGTACAGGATGGCCTCATGCATATAAATTCTAATTCTTTACTCCATAGAGTTGTACTCTGATGTCCCACAAACCATGCAATGTACACCCAGAAGCACATCATGCATACATATACAATAAGAACAACTTATTGTTTTGTTTTTTTTGAGACAGGGTTTCTCTGTGTAGCCCTGGATGTCCTGAAACTCACTCTGTAGACTACCCTGTTCTTGAACTCACAGAGATCCACCTGCCTCTGACTCCTGAATGCTGAAATTTAAAGTGTGCACCACTACTACCTGGTTAATAACTTTATACACCCTAGTGAGCATGAGCTTCTTTAACGTGTGTGTGTGTGTGTGTGTGTGTGTGTGTGTGTGTGTGTGTGTGTGTGTGTGTGTGTTACGCTTGGGATTGAATCTAAGGCCTCATGCAAGTTCAGCACACCTAGCTTTTTTAAGGATTGGTCACAAATTAGTAAAATATGGACATGGTAGTGGGCACTTATTGTTTTTCTAATCCATTTCCCCATTTCTCCTTAGGTAAATGTGAACAAAGAAGCCCTGGGGGCTGGGGATATAGCCCAGGGGTGGATGGTTTCCCTCCTTGTCACAGGCCCCCTGGGTTCAATCTCTAACACTGGATTAAGAAATAAATAAAGAGGAGAAGATTTAATAAATAGTATGGGGGAAACCCTGACTTCAGAGACCAAGGATGAGCACATGTCCAAATAAGGTGAGACAGACTGCTCTGCTCCTGATATGGGAATCTTAAGCCAAGTAAGAAGTATGATGCACAGGCAGAGTTGACTCAAGAGAGACTTGAAGAGGCTGACTAAGAGGTCTTGTCTTTCCTTTGTCTTAGCCTAGCCTATAGCTTTTCACTGAGTCCCTTTTTAAGGTATGTTATAGGAAACTGCTGTTTACAACCAGGGCAACAGACAACAGCCAGAAGAGGGTCAGAGACAAAGGAAGCAGTTGTGTACTTCCCTGTATGGTAGGTACTCTCAGCCTTAAAACGTACTGTAGAAGTCTTGAAGACCAAACTTCAACCTCCCAGCATTGCAGGTAAGTGACTAATACACAGCGTCGATTAGATAGAGCATTTCTTGCTCAGAGTTACTTTTGCTGTGACGAAACACCATGACTAAGGCAACCTGGGGAGGAAAGGGTTTATTTGGCTTGTGCTTCCACATTATTGCTCATCACTAAACAAAAACAGGACAGGAACTCAAACAGTGCAGGATCCTGGAGGCAAGAGTTGATGATGAGGCCATTCAGGGACACTGCTTACTGGCTTGCTCCCCATGGTTCGCTCAGCCTGACTTCCTATAGAACCCGGGACCACCTGCCCAGGAATGGCACTATCCACAATGGGCTAGGCCCTCCCCCATCAATCACTAATTAAGAAAATGTCCTATAGGCTTGCCTACAGCACAATCTTGTGAAGACATTTTCTCAACTAAGGCTATCTCCTCTCTGATGATTCCAGTTTGTATCAAATTGACATAAAAGTAGTCAGCACACAGCATATATTTTCTATTTTCTAGGTCTTTCTGAAGTAATTAATTTTTATTTATTTTTTTATTTGTTCCTCTGATGGCTAACAAAGGTGCCATTTAAGACAAGAAACATGCCCCACCAATTCCATTTGTTTATTTTGAGACCTAGCTGGCCTGGAACTCACTATGTAGCCTCAAATGCACAGACATCCTCCTGCATCTGTCTCCCATGTGCTGGGAGTATCGTGTTCATCACCACACTCAGACAGAAGTGGAAGAATTCAAAATAAACAAAGCCCACTCTGCTACACACAGACAAGTCAAGATTCTGGCCAAGAGAGTTCCTTGGCATTTCAATCACATTTAATACTTCATAAACATTTAGAAACTCCCACATTTTCAATTTTTTCCCTAGCTTTCTATCCTGCCTTACTTTTGTGACTTTACCAATGTACCACTATCTACACTCCTCAAACAATACTGCTCATGTAGTAGACATTATTTGTATGAGTCCATCTCCTGATTCTAAGAAAGACTATACTACTCAATGGGCCATTCTATATATTATTCCAAAACAAGAACTGTGCTGATAGTCTTCTAAGCCCAAAAGGAACTAAAACATTCTAATGCAATGACCTGCAGCTGTGATATTCTAGGCATCATTCCTTTTAAAATTTTTCTAGCCAAGCAGTGGTGGCACACACCTTTAATCCCAGCACTAAGGAGGCAGAGGCAGAGGCAGATGGATCTCTGTGAGTTCGAGGCCAGCCTGGTCTACGTAGCTAGTTCCAGGAGAGTCAGAGATGCTGCACAGAGAAACCCTGCCTCTAAAAACAAAACAAAACAAAATTCTCTGAATGAGAAAAACTGAACTAATGAATAAGTATTTGCTTTTTTTCTAAAACTCCACATCAGAACAACAGGCATTCAACCTAGGCCTGAGGTAAAGAAAGGTTCACTGTATTTAAATGTTCTGAAACAAGCTAAAACTAACCTTAGCTAGATAAAAGATACAAATCAAATTGCCAAAGGTCTCCTATAGTCAATTACAGGTTGAACACATTTGTATGAGACTCTGCTTCTTTTGTTTTTTTTTTAACTTTTTACTGATTCTTTGTGGATTTCACATCATGCATCCTGATCCCATCATCTCTCCATCCCTTCGTATCTGCCCTCTGCCCTTACAACACCCCCAATAAAATAAAATTTTAAAGACAGAGAAAAAATATCTCATAGGAAAGTTGTAGTGTGACACAGTGAGTCACACAATAAAGAAAATCCCATCATGGAAACTGTGGTGACACCGTGAGTCACACAGTATACCCTTTAGTCCACACATCTTTACTTTTTAAATGTTCGTTGGAATGAGTCATTGGTCTGCCTCAAGGCCTCTAGCTTCTCCTACCCTATTTTCCCTGGAACTCCTCTTAGATATCCTGCTGTTGGCCTGTGTCGTGGAGATTCTGTAGCTTTGGATCTGCAGGGCTGGCCCCTTCATGTGCTCCAGCAGTTCATAAATGGGGTGGATGTTGGGGTGGGCTACCTCATAGCCCTGATTCTGGGCCTGGGTGGAAGCTGGGTTGGTCAGCCAGACAGCTTTCCTTCATCCTCATCAACAGGGCAAGCTCTCCTGCCCTGGCTAGCAGGCCTACTGCAGTAGGCAGCGGGGGGGGGGCAGTTTCCCTGTTCTCATGGCCTCAGGGTCAGCTCACCCCCCACCAACAGGGTTAGCTCTGATGAGCTGCCCAAGCAAGGTGCAGGGCCCATTCTTCCAAGTGTGATGCTGCTTGTTTTTCAGAAAGAGTCTTTTTATCCAGGGAAGTACCCAGCCCTTTGGAGCCCCTCAGCAGATTAATCTGTGCTGGAAATATAACGGACACTTAGAAGTCACTTTTGCTAAAAGTCACTGACTTCTTGCCTGAGATCACCAGATAAACAGCAGGATGAAGCAGGAAGTGGTGGCCTCCCAATACTTGGGGAGGCAGAGGCAGGCAGATCTATGTGATTTCCAGGCCAGCCTGATTTATAGAGCAAGGGCCACAACAGGTTCCAAAGCTATACAGAGAGACCCTGCCTCAAAAAGCAAACAAAACAAACCAGCAGGATGAAAGCCTGGCATCTCTGCCTCTGTTTGCATCTATCTCCTTTATTGTGGGTCAGACTCCTGCTTGACCCTGCAAAACCATAATAATCAATCAAGAACTGTCTGTCGGGGCTGGAGAGATGACTGAGCAGTTAGGAGCACGGGCTGCTCTTCCAGTGCACCTGGGTTCAATTCCCAGCACCCACATGGCAGTTCATAATTGCCTGTAACTCCAGTTCCAGGGAAATCAGACACCTTCACACAGACATACATGCAGGTATAACATGCACATGAAATAAAAATAAACTGTTAAAGAAAAAGAACTGTCTGTCTACATAACTCATCTCGTCCCCATTTAAGGCTGAAGGTAGAAAGGTAAGTCAAGTGTCATAAACCTTTATGTTACCTTGGATTCTAGGACCAGCAGGGCCACACAGGACAGACTATTCTGTGATGGGTGAGACTACATGCCCTGGAGCTAAAGAAATCATCTTGACCCAAACAGATCTCCTAATCTTCAGCACACCTTTGCACAAGCAGAATGGAAACAGTGATGCACCAGACCACCCCTTGACCAGGACTGTTTAGTCAGAAGTGTTCTCATCTCTACGCTATATAAACTAAAGGACATGCCTGTACCCACAGATGAACTTGGCCTACTGGACCCTTATCTGTTTCTCTTCCCAACATTGGCCGAAAATATTCCACCAATATTCATTAATTGGTAATTATAAGACTGACGGAGCTGGGCTTTTGCCCTCAAGACACAATCTCACCTAAAACATCCTCACTCTCATTCACATTCTACCTGGGCCTTATAATCCCCTTTGTGATAAAAGTGTCAAGTCCTTCCTGGCCACTTTATCTTCCTAGGAAATAGCCAACATTATGGTAAGTGTGCATGCATGGTCTATTTTGTGGAGGGAGGGAAAAAAGTTTACTCAAGATTTGTAATTGGGCATGGTAGCTCTCATCTGTAATCTCGGCACTGGGGAGTCATCCCTCTGATCCACTTCATTCTTGAAGCTTCCACAAAGCTTTTTTTTTTTTTTTTTTTTTTGGTTTTTCAAGACAGGGTTTCTCTGCATTGTTTTTGGAGGCTGTCCTGGAACTAGCTCTGTAGACCAGGCTGGCCTCGAACTCACAGAGATCCACCTGCCTCTGCCTCCCAAGAGCTGGGATTAAAGGCATGCGCGACCAACACCCGGCTTCCACAAAGCTTTTATTCAATCCAGTGAATACTATTCCAGTACTTGCAGTTGGCTTTTCTTTACCACCCCCCCCCGACCCCCAATACTCGCTTATCTTTACTGAGGTCCAGTTTCATTTCCTGTATTAGTTTCCTTTTTTAAAAGGCTGTTTTCTTGGAATTAATCCAGGGGTTTATTGATGTTTTCTTTTTTCTTTCTTTGAGACAGAGTTACTCTGTATAATCCTGGCTATCTTGAAACTGTAGACCAGGCTTGGCTTGAACTTAAAGAGATCCACCTGCCTCTGTCTCTTAAGTGCTGGGACTAAAGGTGTGCACCACCACCACCCTGTTTAGTATCTTCTTTTTCTTTTAACATACTTATTCATTGCAATCATTAAGTCTTTGCATGGGATTTTATTTAATTTACTGTCACTGGAGGCAATTACATAAGATTCATAGTTCTTGGAGGATCCTACTGCCTTGGATTTCAGAATTCTTCCTTTCTTCCTTCCTTCCTTTCTTTTTTTCTTTCTTTCATGACATTTGTATATATGGGGTTAGGTTGTTGGTAAGTTTTTTTCCCCTTAAGATAACCTTTTTTTCCCCCAATAGTGGTGTTTACCATATTTAAGGACTAGGTTATATTAGGGATCAAATAATAGTTTCCCCCTGTTACGATGGTGTTAGGGAAATAGGCTCAAATTCCAATATTCTCCAAGAATAGAAAATTGTTAGTAAACTCAGTCATTATTAAAGGACAATCTCACTATGAAAATAAAGCAACAATTCAATTTTAAAAAATCACTCCTTAATCATGCTCATTTTAGGAAGTAAAGAAACAGTGGTACTGTGTACAATAATCTATTAGCTACCACAGTGTGGATGGAGGAAAAATGGAGAGTACGACTAGTGATTAGTATTGACTTGATAGAAACAAAGTTAAGAGTAAAGAGAAATGGGGAACAGTAGAGCCAAGGAGGGCATGAGACAGTTTAAAGTAAAGGTAGAAGGAATGAAAAGAGCGTGGTAGCTGGGGATAAACCTTAGTTGGTACAGTGCTCACCTAGCATTCACAGAGCCCTGGGTTCCAATCCCCAGTACTCTACAAGGCAAGTATGATAGTGCATACCTTTAACCCGGGCACCTGGGAGGTAGAGGCAGGAGAACCAAGAGTTCAAAGTCCTCCTCGATACACAACAAATCTGAGGTCAGCATGGGAAAATGAATAAGGAAGGAAGGTTAAAAAATATGCTATCAGATAACTGACAACGGGTTTCAGGAGGTTTAGGTATAGACTCTACAAACCAGGCCAACCTATGTGTGTCGTGTCCCCCCCCTCCCACCCCCCCCACAGGGTTTCTCTGTATGGTTTTGGAGGTTGTCCTGGAACTCGCTCTGTAGACCAGGCTGGCCTCGAACTCAAAGATCCACCTGCCTCTGCCTCCCGAATGCTGGGATTAAAGGCATGCACCGCCAACACCCAGTGAGCATATGTTCTTTGAGAAAGCCTACCAAAATGAGAATGAGAAAGAATAAAGGCAAGGGGAGAAGAGACGAAGAGGAAGAGGGATACTCATGGTGGCCTCAGTGGCAAGATGGCTCAGTGGATAAAGGTGACTGTAGCCGTTGTAGCCATCTGGTGAACTGAGTTTGATTCCCAGGACCCACATAAGGGAAGGGGGAAATCAACTTCCACAAACTATCCTCCAACTTCCACTCCAGCACCATGACAGGCCTGCTTCCACACATATTGTGTTGACTGTTTTGTCAAGTTGACACAGTTAGTCATCCGGAGGAGGAAGCCTCAGTAGAGAAAATGCTACCCTCAAATGGTCATGTAAGGCATGGCTGTGGGGCATTTTCTTGATTCGGAAGGACCCAGACCAGTGAGGGTGGTGACATCTCTGAACAGGCAGTCTTGGAGTATATAAAAAAAGTCAGCTGAACATGACATGAAGGACAAGCTGGTAAGCAGTGTTCCTCCACGGTTTCTGCTGTAGTTTCTGCCTCCAGGTTCCTGCCTTGGCTTTCCCTGATGATGGACTGTAACCAGTAAGCCCATTAAACTCTTATCGCCCTAAATCACTTTTGGTCATGGTGTTTTATCACAGCAGAGAGGAACCTGATATACACATACAGAAAATACATTTTAAAAAGTGTAAAGAAAAACAACCCACAGGGGCTGGAGAGACGGCTCATCGGTTAAGAGCACTGGTTGCTCTTCCAGACCTGGGTTCAATTCCTAGCACCCATATGGAGGTTCATAACTATATGTAACTTCAGTTCCAAGGGATCCAATGCTCTCTTCTGGCTTCTGCAGGCAATACTCAGTCATGGTACATATGAAATAAAAATTTTTAATTTAATTACATTTGAAAATCAAACTAGTACAAAAAGCAGCAGAAAAAAAAACTGCTCCTGTCCTACATTTCCTGAACCCTTCTCAGAGGCAGCTCATGATTTTGTCCTGTATCTCATCTATCTTACTGACCTTCAGTCAGTGAGACCTGAGACTCCTGAGTGGCCTAGGATCCTGGCTCTCCTGGGGTCCCACACACTGTCAGCAAACAGTACTTTCCATTTTCACTAATTGGCCAGCACTCATTACTTCCCAATACCAAATCCCCACCCCTCACAGAAGGCACTACTCAGAGTTCATTGCTCAGAGCTTGCTGTACCTATACTTTCCCACCCTCTGCTAAAAAGCTGCAGGTTTGGGGCTGGAGAGATGGCTCAGCACTGGATGCTCACAACCAACTGTAATACAACACCCGCTTCTGCACTGCAACATGTGATGCACAGACATACATGTAGGCAAAACACCCATATACATTTAAAAAAATTAGTAGACTCATCAAAGTGCCAAAAGGTAGTTAAGAAGGAAAAAATCCCGTCCTCTCAAGCACGCGCACTTGCACACACCAACCACCACTAAGGAAATATTTGATGCTGTCAAATAAAGGAAATGAGATGACATCAAGATGAAGGGGCACAAAACCCCTACTGCTGGAGGCTGGAAAGATGGTTCATCAGTTAAGAGCACAGGCTACTCTTGCAGAGGACACAGACGCCATTTCCAGCATCCACTGGTCACTCACTACCTCTGAAACTCCAGCTCCAGCAGCCCTGGAGCTCTCTGAAGGCACTGCACTCGCTGAATCCACACACATACATGCAAACAAAACACCCACATGCAACGTTAACAACAACAACAAGCCCCACCAATATTATTGGAGAAGGGTTAGCATAAGCCATCAGGCTGTGCAATTCTTGCTTTAAATAGTTTAAGGTTTCAGGAATACAATGAGGCAACATTTTAGTAGGTAGTGTAAATGGTATTCCTGAATTGGGAAACCACAGCTTAGAGTAGTTGTAAGAACTGTAAAATCAACAAGTGGTTTAGTATGTTTTTTCCTATTTTAGTGCAATCCTACCTACGAATGTGGTCTGTACTGAGGCATATTTAAATGGTTATCTGAAAAAGTATACATTATTGAAATATATTTGCAGAATTAAGCTTTGCTCTTCCATAATGAACTTCTGAGGTCGCTGAGTTTCTCCACCTGAAGGATAGGCTCCAAGCCCTCCCAAGGAAGGAGAGAAAGCTCGGTTCCAGTACCCACACTTACCAACATAAAGAACTACCAAGGAGATGAGCTGGGAGAATACAAATGGTAAAATCAATATAGCACAATCCCATAATAAATACATAATCAAACAACTAAGGGCACAATTCTGATGAATCATTTTCTCTAAGACTGTAGAGCATAGAAGAACTAAAGTGTTTCAGTGCTGGAATATTAGCTCAGATGGTAGAGGGCTTGCCTTACATGCGTAAAGCCCTTGCTTTGACCCCCAGCACTGCATAAACCCATGATGCATCGGTGATACATGCCTTTAATTAGAGCATTCAAGACGAGGATGAGGAAATCAAAATCATCCTTGGCTACATAGTAAGTTCAAGGCTAGCCTAGGCTACAAGACTTTGTATTATATATATGGGGCTGGAGAGATGACTCAGAGGTTAAGAGCACTGGCTGCTCTTCCAGAGGTCTTGAGTTCAATTACCAGCACCCAAATGGTGCCTCACAAACATCTGTAGTGAGTTAGGATGTCCTCTTCTGGTATGCAGGAATACATGCAGGTAGGGCTCTCATATACGTAAAATAAATAAATCTTTAAAAATTTTTTAATTACAAAAAAAAAATACCCCGCACAGCCTGTTTCCCTACTTCACAAGCAGGAATAGAAAACTGCAAATTTAGAAAGACACTAAGTGTTACAGCAGTTTCCTCTTCATATGGCACTGCCCTACAGGTGCCTGGGGATCCATGGTTGTTCTTCAAGTCTTAGTTCTTAAGTCCTAATAAAACTCCCCATGAATAAAAAGTCCATACTACAACACTCATTCAAGAAATACTTTGGCACACACCCAGCACTAGGGAGGCAGAGGCAGGAGGATCTCTGTGAGCTGAAGACCAGTCTGGTCTACAAGAGCTAGTTCCAGGACAGCCTCCAAAGCCACAGAGAAACCCTGTCTCGAAACAACCCCCCCTCCAAAATAAAAGAAATACTTTGGGCATTGGAGAGACAGATGGCTCAGTGGTTGAGAACACATACAGCTCTTTAGAAGATCCAAGTTTGATTCCTAGAGCCTACATCAGGGATCTCACAACCACCTGTAACTCCAGCCCCAGAGGGATCCTC